TGAGTGAGTGATTTTCCTCCAGAGCTAGGAATCAAGTAAATGCAGGGTCCTCAGATATGCTCGGCCATCTACACACTGAAACAAGACCAAGAATGATCCTTATAAAAGGATGTCAATTCCTTGACATTTCAACCGAAAGCAAACCATCTGCTTAAAAATAAAATCCAAGCTGGGTGATGGTGGTGCACACCTTTAATCCCAGCACTCGGGAAGCAGAGGCAGGCGCATCTCTGTGAGTTCAAGGCCAGCCTGGTCTACAAAGCAAATTCAGGGACAGTCAATGCTGTTACACAGAGAAACCCTGTCTGAAACGTCCGGCTGGGTGGAGACAGGACGTGGTTTTTTTTAAGACGAAGTAAAAGAGAAGGTTAACATCAGAGAGCATGTGCGTTTTTTCATATTTACCCTCAGATAGAGAAGAAATTTTAAGTCCTCAAAGCTCTGAGAGCATTCTTTTCATGACTCTGGGTACAGGCCTGGGAGCTAGCTGGCTGTGGGATCTGGCTGGACAGGAGCTTGCTCTGTAGACCAGTTGGCCTACGAGTCACTGAGCTCTGCCTGTCTGTGCCTCCCAAGTGCTGAGACTAAAAGCAGTATCATGCACACCACTTTTTTTCTTATAATATTCACTTATACATAAATTGCCAAAGTTTGTTCAACAAAGAAAATAACACTTTATATTGTCCAAGACACAGGAATTAAAACGGGTACTGCTGAAGAACACTGAGTAACATTTCAGAAGACAACCTGTCAAAGATATGTCAAACCAAACAACCACACCTTCTAACCACCAATTTTTTTAAAGGAATTTCTTACTGAATACCTGGCAAGAGCCAGGTTAAAGCATATTCCAATTTTGTAAAAAAAAAAAAAAAAATCAATCAGGCCTCAAACATTAAATAGCAGCTATCCAGTAAAGATATGGACTTTCCTTTCGTATTCTTTTTATTTCTCTATATGTTTTAATTTTTGTAATACATTATTCTTGTAAAATCTAAAGAATATGTTATTACAAAGACATACAAGTGTTTAACTATAAACAGGACTCAGCATTTTTGTACAATTTAACCAGAACAATGGGGTTTTTCATGGGATGATATCAGAGTACTGTCAAAGTCAAGGAGTGGCACCGAGGACCTCCACTGTCCACCCAGGAGGACCTCCGCTGTCCACCCAGGAGGACCTCCGCTGTCCACCCAGGAGGACCTCCGCTGTCTTCTGTCTCACCGAGGAGGACTTTCGCTGTCTGTCTCACCGAGGAGGACCTCCACTGCCTCACTCCCACCAGGATTGAAGGAAGAACTATCTGTAAGTTGGAAAAGCCTGCCTCTCAGCTCACTGACCCCAGACTTTCTATTATTCATTACAGCTGTTGGTTAAGCGTCCCTTGCAAAAAGGCCTGGGCAGGCTAAGGGATGGGAATTCCTAATCACCAAGGATGCACCAAAGCTCAACAGTCTCAACCCGAGAGGAAGCTGTTCTAATTGCCCTGCCGCCTACCTGCATCAAGGAAGGCCCTTTTTTCTTCATCAGAAGAAATTAAAACAGCTTTTGAGGTTCCCAGACAGTGGTAAGGTGCCTGCCATGCAAGCCCGATAAATCTGAGTTCCACCCGTAGAAAACGCACATCATAATACACAATAATAACAAGTTTTATGATAAAGAAAATTAAAAAGAAATCATCCATGTAAAGACTGCTTGTCTTCCCTCTTCTACAGACAGACCACTTTGAAAACCTGACCCTTTAGGAACCAATTCTCATGTAATGTTTAGTAACTAATATGTAAGTAACCGTGTTTAAAAATGACTCATTAGAATAAATATCAATCATAGAAAAGGCATATAGATTCTAAATTATTAACATATAAAAGTTAGACTTACTAACAAATGCCACTTTTATGGGGCAGGCCAGTATGACTAACTTTCCTAACTTCTAACATGGGAACCACTTTAACATCTCAAAGCTCAGTGGTCAAAAAGACCTTGAGCTCACCGAGTCACCTCCACAGATGAGATCACAGGGATTCATTTGGGAGTTGGCAATTAAATGTGTGACAAAAATGTCCAGGAAGACACCTGAGGTTTATCATGCTCTAGAACTATGACACCTGATTCAAGACCAAGGCTGCAACTGGCCGTTAGTCCCAGCACTTGAGAGATCTCTGAATTTTAGGCTTGGTCTGGGGGGGTGGGGAGGAAGATGGGGGTGGTCGAACTCGAAGCACAAGTGTGAGCATCTGATTTTGACTCCTCAGCACAAATGTCACAATAAAAGTAGCTTTAAAAAGTTCAAATCTATAATTTATTAACCTATCAGATGTGTGAATTATGCAATGGGGCATACTTCCATCAATCAGTTCCCTGCACAAACTTCAACTTTCTAAAACTGCAACTAATTCTTGTGTTTTTTTTTTTTTTCTTTTTAGAATTTAACGTTGGATAATCTTTTCTGGTTGGTTGGAATGTTGTGGAAGCAGAGAATGAATGTAGGCACAGAATCGGAAAGGTCTAATACCTACAAATTTCACCTTTACGTGAAATCAGAATACAGGAAAACATTTACTAAGTGATATTACAATACCCTCCACCCTTTAGTCAGACTGCTCAAATTTGTCTTTACACAAAATGCCCTTCTTTTGAAGAGAGAATTTTGTGTTAGGGATACCTAACTTTAAAACTCAGTAAATTTAAGTGTACTTGAAAATTAAGTCAAACACTTAATCGGTCACCGCTGAAAAGAACCATGTAGTATCAACGGTTTTCTCTCCCCAGACCAGCAGAGGGAGACCAAGACATCTGGCCTGGTGGTGCGACTTCTCCGTAAAGCTGGGGAGGGGGAGCGGGGACTGTATTTAAATGCCCTGCTGTCAATCAAAGGATACTTCCTACAACCACAGTCACCGAGTCAGCTACGACTCCCAAGCGGGCGCTCGCCAAGACCCGACGCCCATCGGTGCCCAGGAAACCCGCCTCCCCTAAAGGTGACCGCAGGCTTTGCCACAACACCCAAACAAGGACTTTGGGCGCCCAACCCCAACTAGTTTCTTTGTTTAAATGCCTGCGAACCTCCCACGCCGGAGTCAAGAGGCTGTGGCGCCGCCCTTTATTAGCCTCACACTTTGATTACAAAACACACGAGGCGGCGGCCCGGCTGCGGGGGCGGCCCGAGCGCTGCGAAACGTCAAACCTGCGGCGGCGGCATCCGAGGGCCCCGTCCGCCCCGCCCCGTCCGCACCGCCCCGCACCGCAGCGCAGCGCATCGCCCGCACCGCACAGCCCCGCAGCGCATCGCCCGCACCGTCCTCACCGTCCTCACCGTCCGCACCGCACCGCCCCGTCCCGCACCGTCCTCACCGTCCGCCCGCACAGCCCCGCAGCGCATCGCCCGCACCGTCCTCACCGTCCTCACCGTCCGCACCGCACCGCCCCGTCCCGCACCGTCCTCACCGTCCGCACCGCACCGCCCCGTCCCGCACCGTCCTCACCGTCCGCCCGCACAGCCCCGCAGCGCATCGTCCGCACCGTCCTCACCGTCCTCACCGTCCGCACCGCACCGCCCCGTCCCGCACCGTCCTCACCGTCCGCCCGCACAGCCCCGCAGCGCATCGCCCGCACCGTCCTCACCGTCCTCACCGTCCGCACCGCACCGCACCGTCCTCACCGTCCTCACCGTCCGCACCGCACCGCCCCGTCCCGCACCGTCCTCACCGTCCGCCCGCACAGCCCCGCAGCGCATCGTCCGCACCGTCCTCACCGTCCTCACCGTCCGCACCGCACCGCCCCGTCCCGCCCCGTCCTCAGCGCCCGCCCGCCCCGTCCTCAGCGCCCGCACAGCCCCAAAGTTCGCGGCCGGGCCGTCCCGGGGTCTCCGCGGCCGGGCCGGGGCGGGCCGGGGCGGGGCGGGGCGGGGGGCTGAGTGCGGCGGGACCCGGCCCGCATCTCACCCGCCTCATCTGTTGCTCTGTTTACTCGGGCGCCGTCGTCCCGCCCGCCCGGGCAAGTTTGAGAGACGGAGAGACAGGGGAGAGATGGGGAGAGACAGAAAGACAGAGAGACAGGAGAGACAGAGCGAGATGGAGAGACAGGGGAGAGACAGGGGAGAGACAGAGAGAGACGGAGAGACAGGGGAGAGACGGGGAGAGACAGAGAGATAGAGAGATAGAGAGATAGGGGAGAGACGGGGAGAGACAGGGGAGAGACGGGGAGAGACAGGGGAGAGACAGAGAGAGACAGAGAGACAGGAGAGACGGGGGAGAGACGGAGAGACAGGGGAGAGACGGGGAGAGACAGAGAGAGACAGGGGAGAGACGGAGAGAGACAGAGAGAGACGGAGAGACAGGAGAGACAGAGAGAGACGGAGAGACAGGAGAGACAGAGAGAGACGGAGAGACAGGAGAGAGACGGGGAGAGACAGAGAGAGACAGGGGAGAGACGGAGAGAGACAGAGAGAGACGGAGAGACAGGAGAGACAGAGAGAGACGGAGAGACAGGGGAGAGACAGAGAGAGACGGGGGAGAGACGGGGGAGAGACAGTAGAGACGGAGAGACAGAGAGACAGAGAGAGACAGACAGAGAGAGACAGAGAGACGGGGGAGAGAGAAGGGGGCGCGACGGGACCCGCGGCGCCCGGAAGCGGGGCCGGGGCGGGCGGTGGGGGCCGGGGCCGGGTCCTGCCCTCCCCTCCTCCCCTCCTCCCCTCCTCCCCTCCTCCCCTCCTCCCCTCCTCCCCTCCTCCCCTCCTCCCCTCCTCCCCCGCCGCCCCCTCCCCCGCCCCCGCCGCCGCCGCCCCCGGCCGGGCTCCCGGACAACTTCTCCGCCCGCCCCTTTGTTCCCGTTTGTTGTGGCGACTTCGCCGGGGCCGCGAGCCCGCGGCTGCGCTGCGCTGCGCTCGGCGGCCGGGCGGGCGGGCGGGCGGGCGGGCGGGCGGGGGCCCCGCTGCGGCGTCGGCCGGGGCCGGGGCCGGGGCCGGGCCGGGCCCGGCTTTTATTTTATTTATTTACCTGCCGTGGAACCAGTCCTTGCACGCATCGCACTCGATCATGAAGCGGCTCACGTCGTACGGCTGCCGGCACACGCAGTACACGGGCGGGGGCGGAGGGGGCGCCGAGGCCCGACCCGGAGCCGGCACCGACACGGCGGCCGCGGCGGCCCCGGCTGCTGCTCCCGCGGCCACGGCCGCCGCCGCTCCGGCCATCTTTAAAACACGCACGCACGCACGCACGCACGCTCGCCCGCTCCTCCGCTCGCCCACTGGAGCGAGCGCAGCCGCCAGCCAGCGCCGCCTCCTGCAGCAGCCGGAGCAGCAGCCCCGGCGGCGGCGGCGGCGGAGGCGGCGGCAGCGGCGGCGGCGGCGGCGCCTTAGTGCGCGCGCGCGAGCAAGGCCGCGGGGGCGGGGCGGCGCGGGGCGGGGCCGCGCGGCTCTCGCGCACGCGCACGCACGCTCGCCCGCGGCGCGCGCTCCCCGCTGCTTCCGCGGCGGCCGGCGGGCGGCTCGAGCGCACGCGCGGCCCGGGACGGGAGCACGGCCGCGGGGGCGAGCGCGGAGCGGGCGGCGGGGCCGGGGGAGCCGGGCGGCCGGGGGAGCCGGGCCCGCAGTCGCTGCGGTGCGAACAAGGGCAGGCGCTCGGCTCCGCTCGGCTCGGCTCGGCTCCGCTCCGCTCGGCTCGACTCCGCTCCGCTCGGCTCCGGGCACGAAAGCCGGCAGGCGCCAGGCTCCGCGTCGCTCGGCTGCCGCCCTCCGACGATGCCGCCCCCGCCTGCGTGGGCCCCAGCCGGGCCGGCGTGACGCGGCAGGGCCGGTGCCTCCCCAGCTGGAGCGCTGCCTCGGGAGGCGGAGGCGCACGCAAACTTCGGGAAGCGTCGCGCTCCGATGCCCGGGGAGCAACTTGGGAACGGGCGGGCGGGAGGGGGTGTTGATTGGAGCCGGGGTCGGGAGGAATTCCGTTAGAGTCTGTCGCCGGCGGGAGGGGCAGGCTGGGGACCCGCCTTGTTCTAGATAAATAACGACGACGCCGGCCTGCGACTGCTCGGCCACGCTAACTGGGGAGGTGGGGAGGAAATCTGAACCGTCTTTTCCCTGGGAGCAGAGAGGCATGCCACAAAGCAAGAAGAAAAGGATCGATCTCTGGTCGTCTTCGGTGCACCACAAGCCGGCACTTTTATTGATTTGTTTATTTATTTTTGTGAAAAATGAAGCCAAATCAGATGTCAGGTGCTAAGCTGAAGAATAGAAGCACCTAACAAATATCTAATAGAGAAAAATGAACGGAGTGTTGGAAGCACTATAAGCATTTATATCCACGAAAAGCAATAAAGCTCCCTGGGTAACTTTTGTTTGGGAAGATGGGCAGGTGAGTCAACTCACTGTCCCCAAGCAGTAAAATCTCCTTGGTCTATTCTAGCTTTTCTTAATTTTTTTTTTATTTTTTACTATTTTGTGTGTGTGTGTGTGTGTGTGTGTGTGTGTGTGTGTGTGTGTGTGTGGAGGAAAACTAATAGCTTGCCTCCATCTGAGAATTGGAACTAAACTTGTTAATTCATTCTTCGCCGAGTCCTTTCTGTACACCACCACTGCTTCTCACATCACACGGAAAGAAAAGCCTGAAAATCATATTTGACGTAAAGTCCTTGAATTTGAAGCATGTGTAATTTTAGCATATGTATCATGCATGGGTTGGCCAATTCCCCAAAGAGCTGTTGAAATTATGGCTAATAATGCCTTCCTTAATTACCACACTGAGAGAAAAGGAGAAGAGAGAGAGGGAACGAAGGAAATAAAAAGAATGAATTTAACGTGTTTTAGAGAGGTTGCTTGAGGTCAAAGAACACTGAGGAAAGGCAGGCTTCAGAGCAGGGCATCCACGGAGAAAGCAGCCTGATGCAGCGTTCTCTGAGGGCACACCTGGCTTTGGAGAGTTAACACTTGAGAGAAGGGTATTGGTTATGCACAGCGTGTTGGCCCAATAGGTCATTATACTGAGGAAAATGGGAGCTACATACATGGAAAACTAGAAAACATTTTTTGGTAGGCTAGTAACAGTGGGATCACTCTCTATATGAAGAAATACAAGTATGTTCATACGTTGTCCCTTAAGAGGATCTGTGAGCAATTAATCCATAAAAATGAGTCCAGAGTTTGACTTCTAAATATAATTCTCCATTTTTCTTAGTAAAATGGTTGATTCCAAGACTGGAGGCGAAAACAAAAAAAATGCTATATGAACTTGGAGCCTTAGTTGTGTCAGATAAAAAAAATCAAGCAAAAACTGCCTGGCATGGTGGTGCATGCCTTTTAATCCCAGCACTTAGGAGGCAGAGGCAGGTGGATCTCTGTGAGTTCAAGGCCAGCCTGGTCCACAGAGCAAGTTTCAGGACAGCTGGGGCTACACAGAAACCCTGCCTCGCACCCCTACCCAAAAGAGCAACAACTAATAAAGCAGGTCAAAAGGGTGCAGGGCCACTTGCATTCCTTGGACTTCATTAAGAACAAATGAGCTTCAAATGAGCTTCATGAGGAGGAGACTGCACACATACACGCACTTGGGGAACAGGGTCTTCCAGAGTCGGCTCTCCCACTATTTCACCTGGAGGCAGGTGAGGCAAACTCAGGTCCTCAGGCTTGCTTGGCAAGCACTTCAACCTGCTGAACTATCTCACCGGCCCAGAGCATATTTTGTTGTTAATGATCACATATACAGCCTGTCAAATAGCACAGGAAATCACAGAGGTTTGAGAAGTTGTAACATAATTTCAACTCTTAGTAATTCTAAAGGGAAGGCTGAGTGTAGCTTGAGGAGGAGCACTTGCCTGTCAGTCTAAGACTTTGGGTTACACCACCAGAACTGCAACTAACGCGTGTAGCAGGGTAACTTTATGATGCTGTCAAGACCAGTAGACAGCACCTGAGACACCATCTGAGCCATCTGATCAAATGCCAATATTGTGATAAATGGACATTCAATTCCACTTAATAGAATTCATTAAGAAGAGCCTTGTCTAGTGACCCCCGAATGCATGTTTGGTCTACCTGATTGAGTCTGCAGTTTGGAAATGAAAATAGTTTTAAAGGGTACATGAAAAAAAAAAATCAGTAAGAACATTAGGATAAAAATCTTTTTGCGGGGGTGGAGGGACAGGTAAAGAAGCTGTGCACACCAATGTTCAACGCTGAAGAAATAGGAGATGCAGGGTAGAACTCTGGATAGTGCCAACATTTTAGTGGCAGCTTCCAGACATAGCAGTTACGTACATGGGTTTGGATCCTGCATGCTGCCATCTCTATGACAACTTATGCTCGAGTTAGGCTCTTTTCATTTTAATGAGAATGATAAGAATATCTGCCTCAGCTTAGGGTTCATTAAATGAGATAACCAACTGCTGAGTATGGCTTAGTACATAATAAGCCAGATAGCTGTTAACTGTAATTATCCATAATTGTTTGGTTATTAATAGTATTAGGGAGGATGAAGGAGCAGCTAGAAAATTATCCCAAATTAGAGTTTGAAAGAATTTTTAAAAATATCAATTGGCTAGATGGCTCAGTGGGTAAAGGTGCTTGCCACCAAGCCTGACAACCTTAAGTTCTGTCCCCAAGATCTGCATGGTGCAAAGAGAGGACCAACTCCTGTAAGTTGTCCTCCAACCTACACACACACATCATGGAATGTGTGGCACACATACAAATGTAAAAGTCCTCCAGTCTACACACCACACGGTATGCGTGTGCACATACACTCAAATTTAAAAGTCCTCCAACCTACGCTCACACACACACACACACACACACCATGGAATGTGTGCACACATACAAATTTAAAAAGAGAATTTAAAGAAACCACCGTGCAGAAAGACACCTGCCTCCACGCAGGAATAAGCTGAGGGATTGCGCTGGTACTGCCTCTGCCTGGTTGCGGACACTGGCAGAGGCTGTCTGGATTTGGCATGTGCATGTATTAGGACTCATCCACAGAACCTCACTGCTCTAACAAGGAATGTCTGCCCCAACATAGCAATTCTGTTTATAGTACTACAGGCATTTTTCTGTCTCCATAACTGCCCGCTAGCTTCTTTGCAAAGAAATATGCTTTGAACTTCTACTTTAAGCTATAGTTGTGCATTAATTAACTGAGGTTTTAATATTTCCTATGAAATTTTTGCTCGCATATATGTATTGTGCATCACTTGCATGCCTCATACCTATGGAGGTTACAAGAAGCATTAGAAGGTGTCAGATGTCCTGGAACTACAGTTGCAGATGGTTATAAACCACCAAGTGGGACTGGGAACCGAACCCGGGTCCTCTTCAAGAGCAACAAGTGTTTTTAATCACTGAGCCATCTCTCCAGCCTCGTGATTTGTTTTTGTATAGCACCTTCTACTACTTGATGCTCACAGTGGCTCATCGTACTAACCAAAGGAAACAGAAAATATCCCCACACACGTAATTAGAAAACTTCGAAGTTTTAATTCTAGGAGATAGAGGGGAAAGGGTAACTAACATCTGATGAAGCAAAGAAGTGCATTATGGGTGCTGGAGAAAGAAGGGAATCGGCCACAGTGGAAGCAGATCCCGTGTGTAAAACTGGCAGCTGTGCTGATAGTGTGGCGGCCTTTCTTCTAATGCAGGAGCCAGGGGGATTCTACACTGACAGTCCACAGGAAGACATTGAAGCTGGGAATGGTGTACACCTTTAATCCCAGCTCAGGGGGCAGAGTCAGCGGGAACTCTGAGTTCAAGGCCAGCCTTGTCTACGGAGTGAATTCCAGGAGAGCCAGGGCCACACAGAGAAACCCTGTCTGAAAAAACCAACAACAACAACAGAACAGATATTACTGAAGCCGTCAGTGAGATCGCTAGTAAGCGAAGGCACTTGCTGCCGAGCCTGACACCCTGAGTGCAGCTCCCAGCACCCGCGTAGTTGAAAGAACCAACTCCTGAAAGTTGTCCTCTGACCTCAACATGTGTAGTATGGCATGCATGTGCCTCACCCCACACACATTATATAAATACATGTACATTTTTATTCCTCGTATATGTCTTATCAATCTTTTGCCTATGGATAGCTCATTTATGCTCTAATCTGTAGGTTGGATTAAATTGTGAATTCTGTCTCGGTTTTATTGCCTAGATCTATTCCTTTATAGTTATGAATTATGCCATTAACATTAAGTCCAAAAGTGTTTGAAACTTTTTCTTTTCTAATTACATAGAAGT